GAGCAAGATGGTGGAGGAGTAGGAGACCTGGATTTCGTCTGGTCTCTGGAATTCAGCTGAATAGGGATCAAACCATTCTCAACACCTACGACCTCAACAGGAGACTGAAGAAGAGAGTAGCAACAACTCTCTGAACAGAGAAGCGACCACTTACTGGAAGGTAGGACGTGTGGAGAAGTGAATCCGAGGCGATATTCAGGAGGCTAGACAGCGGGGGAGGGGCCTCCGTCAGCCGCCTCTGGCAAGTGATAGAGCAGCAGAGCACAAAATTGGAACTTTTAGAAGTCGGCTCCGCTGAGGGACATCACTCCAGTGGCTAAGCTGGGGGTGGAACCCTTGCGGGACAGTGTGGTCTCAGGACCCTCGGGGTCAAGAAAGACCGGGGGTGCCTGAGTGTAGCAGAGCTCCCAGGTATCGGAGTGGGGAAGCGGGCTGCCGAGACGGAGCCGAGGCGCGGGCTCTCAGTTCGGGGTTGCCATAAACTGTGATCCGCGGCACGGTCGGGCCACTGCTCCTCCAGCAGGGACCCAACAAGCAGCAGAGCTGGGAGACTCCCCTTCCTCCCCCGGGAGGAGCGGCACGGGAACGCACCACAGGAATCTGCTGGGTTTGGAGACTCCATACGGGGTCGGGAGCCAGAGATAGAAACACTTGGTCACAGGCCAGGTGAGCACGGAGTGCGGCCGGAGACCGGGGACACGGGAGTGACTGCTTTTCTCTGGGCTCTCTCTCAGCTTACAGGATCCCCCTTAATATTTTAATATTTCTTGCAAGGCTGGTTCAGTGATCACAAATTCTTTTAGTTTCTGTTTGTCCTGGAAGCTCTTTATCTCTCCTTCCATTATGAAAGACATCTTTGCTGGATAAAGTATTCTTGGCTGCATGTTTCTCTCATTTAGTACCCTGAATATATCATGTCAGTCCTTTTCTGGCCTGCCAGGTCTCTGTGGATAGATCTGCTGCCAGTTTAATGTTTCCACCTTTGTAGGTTAAGGACCTCTTGTCTCCAGTTGCTTTCAGGATTTTCTCATTATCTCTGAGATTTGCAAGCTTCAGTATTATATGTCAGGTGTTGATCTATTTTTATTGACTTTGAGGGGGGTTCTCTCTGCCTCCTGGACTTGAATGCCTGTCCCCTTCCCCAGATTAGGGAAGTTTTCAGCTATGAATCGCTCCAATATACTTTCTGTCCCTCTCTCTCTCTTTCCTCTTCCTTTGGGACCCCAATTATTCTAATATTGTTTTGCTTTATGGTATCACTGATTTCTCAAAGCCTCCCCTCATGACCCCGTAGTTGTTTTTCTCTTTTTTCCTCGGATTCCTTACTTTCCACCATTTTGTCTTCTATGTCACTGACTCTCTCTTCTGCCTCATTTACCCTAGCTGTTAGTCCATTTTAGCTTGCATCTCAGTTAAAGCATTTTAAATTTTAGCCTGGTTAGATTTTAGTTCTTTTATTTCTGCACTAAGATCCTCTAGTATCCTTTATGATTTTTCAACCCTGGCTAGTATCTTTATAATCATTCATTTGAATTCCAAGTCCGACATCTTACTTATATCATATCAATTAAATCTATGGCAGAGAGTATTACCTCTGGTTCTTTCTTTTGTTGTGAATTTCTCCTTCTAGTCATTTTGTTCAGAGAAGAACAGATGAACAAGAGAACTTAATCAAAAATATCAACTGTGACCCCAGTGAAATATACACTAGACAAATCAGAAGAGATGAAAAACCAAGAAAGAAAAAAAAGGGAAAGGGAATATAATCTAACAGGTGGACAAAGCAGGGTGATACACTTGGCCCTGGGTGTACCTTGGTCTGTTTGTTAGAAGACACTAGATCCCAAAATTGTAAAGAAAGAAAAACTTATTTTTTTAAATCTTTTATTTATTTTAGAGAGTGAGAAAGAGAGAAATTGAGCACAAGTGGGGGGAGGGGCAGAGAGAGAGGGAGAAGCAGGCTCCCTGCTTAGCAGGGAGTCCAACACAAGGCTCAATCCCAGGACCCAAAGATCACAACCTGAGCCAAAAGCAGAGGCTTAACTGAGCCACCCAGTCACCACAAGAAAGAAAAACATATACATATATACAAAATAAAACCGAATATAGTGGAAGGAAGTAAAAAATGAAGAATATATCTATAAAATATAAATGTAAAAATGAAAATTAAAAAGACTTAAAAAAAGTTGATAAAATAAGAAACAAGTTGAAGAGAAAAAAAGAAAAAGAAAATTTTTAAACTGAAAGACTAAGAATCATGAGAAAAAAACCTCAAATTCTATATACTATTTTCCCCTAGTGCTGGAGTTTTTCAGTTCTGTGTGATCCATAAACTTGGTATTAGCCTGATGTTCCTGCTGGTCTTCTGCGGGTGGGGCTGTTGCCCTGATTCTCAGGTGTCTTTGCCTGGGTGGAGTGATACCGCCTTTGCCAGGGGGCCAGGCTCAGTGTAAGCTGCTTCCCCGATTGCTCTATGTGGCTTTTGTTCCCTGAAGGCTTTTCACACCTCTTTAGAGGATGAAAATTAAAATGGCTGCACCGTGATCTCCAACCCCGGAGCTGAAAGATCGTGACCCCCCTCCTCAGTGTGCCCTCAGGGAAAAGCAATCACTTTTGTGTGTGCCAAACTGTGGACTCCTGCAGTTCACACCAACGTGGATCCTCTCAGGGGAAGGAGGGGAGTCTCACTGTGGTTCTGCTGCTTGCTGGGCTCATGCTTGTCACCCAGTTATGCTGGGGTTCATGGTTATGGCAACACCGAGCTGAGAGCCCACTCCTGGGCTCACTGATTGTAGCCAGCGTCACCGCCCCAATGCTTGGGAACACTCAGGCACCCTGGATCTTTCTGTGACCCCAGGGATCCTGAGACCACACTGTCCCATCTAGGATTCCACCCTGCTTTGCCACCTGAGCACCTTTTAGGCAGGGAGGTCCCTGACCAGAGCAGACTTCTAAAAGTTCTGATTTTGTGCTCTGCTGCTCTATCACTTTCCAGTAGCCGGAAAGGAGGCTCCCTCCCCCCTCCGCAATTTGTCTTCCCATATATCCACTCAGATTCACATCTCTGCACCTTCTACCTTTTAAAAAATGATTGCTTTTCTATTTGTAGAATTGCAGCAATTCTTTTCTTAGATCTAAGGTTGAATTCACAGGTGTTCAGAATGATTTGATAGATAACTAGCCGAATCGAGGGACCAGATGAAATGTGGGTTACCTATTCTTCTGCCATCTTCCCTCCTCTCCATGAAGCTTTTCTTCTATGTTTTCTTCTAAGAGTTTTATAGTTAGAGCTAATCTTTAGATTGACATCAATTCAGTAATTTGTTAATTTTTAAATGTACTTTCACAATCACTTATAAGTCTATTATCATCCAGCTCACATTTTACATCTAACTATTAAGTAACTGATTCTTTCATTTATTTTTTTGTCAGAATGTACAAAGCTAGGAACTATGTATATGGCAGCAAACTGGTCAGGCATGGTCGCATCCTGTCCTCACCACACTCATAGTCTACTAAAGAAGTCAGACATTGAACAAGTGATTACAAACACAGGTATGACACGACTAAAGACAAAGAAGTTGCCAACATGAAGACTGAGAAACATAGACTAACTGGAAAGACTTATCAAATTTCTTGGGAATATTTGATTCACTGGTCTATTAACCCAAAGAGAAAAGAGACAGTTTCACTAACTATTGATTCCAAATGCTGATTACTACTTTCTTTCCTAAATGCTCACAGACTTCTACTTATTTAAGAGTTCACTCTAGACGCTACTGGGGACAAAGAGCTCTTGGTCTTCAGATTTTGGAGTCTCTCATTTTATGGGTTTTGAAATACCAGGACCACATTTGCGTTTGTATTTGGCCCTCTGAGACTAAAAATCCAAAAGTATCCTAACTTCTAGACTATTCTCTGAGGTAACATCTAGAACTTCTTTCTCTACCTCAGGGCATTATGCATCTGTACATGAAGATCTGACCTCATGAACAACAACCAGGTGCTATGTGCTCATCTGTCTAAGGTTTTCATCCATCCCAATAATGTTTGGCCTTTTTTGGCTTGAAGATTGGTTCCCTTCTTAGGAAAGACTAGGGAAGAGAGAAGGATCTAGAGTTAAATGGTTTCATTTTGTTGCTCCTCTCTTAAATCCTTTTCCCCAGATACTGGGCCTATTTTTCACTTCTTGTTTTCTCAGAATGAGCTTAGAGGCCCTTAGCTTCCTCTCTCTGCCACACCTGATCCAAGCCTCTGGTATCATGGGTAAAAATTGGGGAAGTTGGGAAGCCAGTGCTCATTGGAGTTGAGGAAGTGCTAAGTATGAAGGGATGATATAGCATCTACGTGCAGACACTTGGACATAAGGGCAGGGGAGTGAGAGGTTTGGAATAGCTATAGGAATGTGAATTCCTCCACATGGAGACAAGTATGGATTATCTCTCCATGGAAGTGAGAGAAGAGAGAACTAAGTGGAGGAAGAAAAACTAAGTCATGAAGGACTGACACAGTCAGAAGGGGTGGGAGAAGTTCCAGCAAAAGAAACTGAAATTCATAGCATAGGAAGAAATCTTAGAAATGACCCTAGCCCACCCCTCTCATGTAACTGCTGGGGAACTGGTTGTCCAGATAAAGAATCCGTCATGGGGGTAGCTACAAAAGTATAGAGTTACATCAATCCCGAGGAGTTGGAAGAGTGGCTTTCAAGAAATAGGAGGGTGGTCCACAGGGCCAAATACTACTGAGAAATCAAGGAAGGTTGAGGACACCAAGAATGGCTCTCAAAATTGATCAACTGATGCTTTGGTCTCTTGGAGGGCATTTCTGGTAAAGAAATAGAAAGCAGATTGCCAGGGAAAAGGGTCTGGGTATGAAAAGGACAGGAGACACTGAATTATACTCACTCAGTAGGTCTGACAGTACTAGGCAAGAGAAAGAGGATGACAGCTAAAAGGAAAACAGATGAAGTTTAAGATAATGGAAATATTATTTTAACACAGGAAGAAAGGAACCAATTGAATGGGAGGGATTGAGGATACAGGAGAACTCATGCCATCCTTGGCAGGAAGATCACAAGAAGCAGGTGAAGAACCACAACACAGGTGGAGGTAAGCTTTGGAGAAAGCTTTGGTAAAAAGGAAGGCGGTACCACATGTGCTGAAGGAGACAAAGCAAAGGGAAAGCCACATCCCAGAGGAGAGATGTGGGGATATGGGGAGAAAATCGAGTTGACCCCAAGGTCAAAGGTGGGAGTCTAAGTCCTGCCTCTGCCTCTTGCTGGTTCATTGACTTCGATCTCTCTGAGCCAGCTGCTTTACATTTCAGTGTCACTGAGTTTTTGTGAGATGGATATCAGATAACATATGTGCATATGCCTAGTACAACCTGAGTTATCAGAACATTTTTGAGATTCACCCCAGGGCTTGCAATGCTGAGATCTGAAATGGCTGTTCTAGAGAGCAAATTCGAAAGCTTCACGGATATGCTGGCTGGGCAGTAAGAAGGTTCTAGCTGGAGCTGGAAACTGTTTCTTCTTTCAGAACGGGAGACTCAGGGAGCCCTCTCACTGCCCTCCTGGGCGCTGAAAGGCAGCACAGAAAAACCTTAGAGAAAGCTGCACCAGAGTGGAAACTGTAAGATGGGATGGTGGTAGCAACAGCAAGAAGGTGTTTTCAAGAGCTATTATTCCCTGGCGTCTCCAAGCCCATCTGGCCCAATGTGGTGGACTTTTAAAGGGTTATAGTGAGGTCACCATATTCTCAGGCACTTCCCTCTTCCTTCTTTAAAGTTCAGAATCATCAAATTAGAGGACCAAACCCCATCCCTGACCACATGAAAAGAAAAATGAGGCCTGCCTCTGACTGTTCACAGGGAATGAAAGATGTTATGGAATCATAGAGCCGTAGATTCTCAGGGTGGGGAAAGACTTTAAAAGCCATTTATTCCAGCCCCCTGGATGGTGTATGACCCTTTAAAATACTCTAGCTAAAGGCCAGCGTCAGCTCAAAAATCCTTCCGCGACAGGAATCTTCTGAGGTAAGCCCAATTCATCTATGACCATCTCGGATTATTTCACAGATTTTCCTTATATTATGATCTAAAGTCTATGTCCCTGTAGCCTACACACTGGTCTGAGTGTGGTCCTCGGGGCCCACATAAATAAAATATTTGATATGTCCTCAGCCCCTTTGATCCCTCCCCCTTGATGGTCCTTCTCCAGTTGGCATGTTTGTTTATTTCTGCTAGCAAGTCTGGCTCCCAGATCTGAGCATAGTGCTCTGAGCTGTTGCAGGATGGAACAGGACCATCACCTCCTTCATTCCAGGCATCATAGCACATTTAGAATTTCGAGGAACACATCATACTGTTGATTCACACCTAACAAATTGCTCACGATAACCCTTATCCTGTTGTGGGCAATTGATTTTTTAGATCAAGAACTTTGTATTTATTCCCAGTAAGTTTCATCTCATAATATTTGCCCAGGATTTAAAAAAAAAAAGATATTAGCATGAACATATCAAATAGACCTATCATTTATTCACTCACTCATTCAGTCATTCAATAAGGTATTCCTCCCAGTTTTATATCTTTAGTAAGTATATCCAGCCCGCACTCCCTGGTTATTCAGTTGCATTTTTCCTCAAACTATTGAAAAACATGTCCAAACGGGCAGAGGTCTACTGTACAACACAAAACACTTCCCTGAAAAATGACTGACCACTGAATTAGTTACTTTATTAATTCAGCAAATACATTCAATGAATATGTATTGAGACCCCACTATGTGCTAAGTCATGATCTACGTGCTGGAGAAACGTCCAGCAGTGAACAAGCCAGACAAGGTTCCTGCTGATTACAGAGGAGGAGACATAGGATAAGACAAATAAAAACAAAAAATAATACTAGCTGACATTTATTGACCATTTCCTATGTACCAGGCGTTGTTCCAAACACTGTACATGTTTGCTCTTCACAAATTCTTGCGAGGTAAATACTATTCTTCCCATTTTCTAGATCAAGTGTACTGAGACGCAGAGGAGTTAAGTCACTTGCTCAAGATCACACGGATCCTATAGGATGGAGCATCAACCTAGGCAGTCTGGCTACAGAGCCTGTGTGTTAACCATCGGGCTTCTGTTGTAGCTCTACAAAAGCAAATGCTAAATTAAACATACACATAAACACCAAGGAAATATCCCGTATGAGAGAGAGTCACATTTAAGCTGAAGCCTGAATGACAAGCAGGAGCCAATGTCTCAACATCTGAGGGGAGAACAAGAGGTAGGGGATGAGGTTGGAGGGGTGGTCAGGGGTCCTGTCTCGTGGGGCCTTGTGGATTAGGTAGTACTAAGGATTTGGGCTATAGGAATTCAACCAGTTATGAATACACCTAGTTGTTTCAGTATCCAACCTACACATACCCATCTTGTCCACAAATATACTGTGAACCATACCCTTTCCCTACCACTGATACAGGACTCCCTCTTCACACTCTGGCCAGGTCCCTTTCAGCTGTCACCATCACTGTGGCACAGCAAGATGCACTCTGGATGCCCAGTCAGGACTCAGAACCCAGTAGAGCTCCTCTGTGCTATGTGACCTTGGCCAAGTCACAGCCTCTCTGCTCTTTCAGTTTCCGGGGGTTTTTCCCATCGCTCTGTAATGTTACCTCACTCCCAGAACAGAACCACTAAGGTACTGAGCTTACGGGGACACTTTGACTTAGGGAGCAAGCACTCAACCTTTCCCCTTCCCGACTCTTCCATCCTCGTCTCCACCAGGTCCAGGTAAGCTGTATCGAACTTGATGCATCTGGCTTCAGTTACTAACAGCCCCAGGGACGGCTCTCTCATCTCCCAGAAGCCCTGCTGGTTTGACCCCATCAAGTTCTACTTACCCAAGTGTTATACAACCCTCCCCTTAATTACACACTCAATCAGTTCCTTCCGAGCTCAGCAATTTGTGGTCTCTGGGCATCCCCCAGCTGCTTCTCTAGAGGTAGCTCCCAGGCTGGGCCTTGGCAAGCCTCTGAAACACCGACTGGGTTTCTAAGGCCACAGTGCCCAGAGTTGAAAGGCTCGCTGCTATTTCACACTCTATTTCCTTCCAAATTAATTCTCTGATGAATACTGTCCTTTGCAGTGATTCAATGTGGGCTATTTCCTTACATCTCTCCTTTACCTTTGAGACTTTTAATCTCTCTCGAGTCCAGATTTTCCTCTGTGGAAAACCTGCCTCAGAGAAAAATGCCCTGCTTTCCTAACCAGTATAAACAGCCCCACCACCACTGGCCCCAACTTCATGGCACTCATCCTTTCCTGGCTTACCCAGGTCATCCCTTTGATGTCAAAGCACACACCTGCCTTCTCTAAAAATCTCGGCACCCCAAGGAATGACTCAAACTTCTGGGCATATGGCGAGCCATGAATTCTAGTTTCCTTAAGGCCCGAACATATGAAGATGCAGATTCAAAGTTTGTACTTGAGCAGCTAACATGTTCCACATCTTTCATATAGTTATTTTGCTTTCACTCTCTACCAGTTGCCCCACACCCCAGCCCCCCACTCACAGAGAGCATCATCATCCTCATCATACAGATGAAGAGAGGCTCTGCGATGTTAAGCGATGTTAAGTCTGAGGTCACAGGGCCCAGGAAAGTGTAAGGCTGGAATCCAAAGCCCTGCCTCTTTACTCCAAGGTAGATGGCTTCTTTCAACCATCTCACAATGGTTGGCTTAAGCTCCCCTAAAATAGGCGCCAGGATCTTATACCAATGTCACACTATCTAGGACTGGGTGCCCATGCATCAGGAACCCTCAGAAGAGCACTCAGAACACTGCCTGAGAAACACTTAGAAGAGGCTTTTTGAGCAATAACATGAGCAATGCCTTACATTTGTATAGCACTTTTCTCTTCATATTATTAAGTGCATGACATACCTAATCTATGAGAACCCTGGGATAGTTCTGTGAAGGAGCCACTATATCAGAGCCTCATTTCACAAATGAGGATATACAGGCTTATTAATGGGAAGTTAACGGACTTACCCAAAGTCACACAGATAGTACATACAGAGGTAGGACTTGAACTCACAGCCTGTGACTTCAAGACCAGCGCTCTCTCAAGTTCTGATATTAGTTTGGATCTTTGCTTCCAAAATGGGGATTTGGGCCATGCCACCCCCCTCACCCCAGCTCCAACCTTCAGGGAAGCTTACATTTCTTTCTTTTTTTTTTTTTTTTAAGATTTTATTTATTTTGAAAGAGAGAAAAAGGGCGAGCATGAGCAGGGGGAAGGGCAAGCAGACTCCCTGCTGAGCTGGGAGCCCGATGCGGGACTCGACCCCAGGACTCCAGGATCATGACCTGAGCCGAAGGCAGACGCCCAACCAACTGAGCCACGCAGGTGCCCCTCACATTTCAAAAGCCAGGTGGAGAAAAAGGAGTCCTGGGAAGACCAGCCGTTTATTGAGGATAGTGCTTTTCAGCTCCGTCTCTAGCCACCCTTAGACAGGGCCCAGGTTCCTAGAGGCTGGCAGGATGGACTGGGAGGGTCAGGACTGCGAGGCCAGTCCCCTTGGCCACTAGAGGGCAGGGTCTGAACAGGGCACACAGCCCTCTTCCTAGAGAATTTCCCATCCAGGCAAAGGGACTCCCGTTTTCTCTAGCAGCCTCAGGGTACACAGGGAACCACAGCTTTAGCCCCAAGGTTGAAGAATATTACTTCCCTGGCATAGAGTAAACAAAATCGTTGCTCCTAACTCCTCCTAGCCTCCTTTGCAGGTAGATGGACAGCGCCCCAGAGGATTCCAGCTGAGGAGAAGGAGTGTCGGGTACCACTTGCAAAGACCTGAGTTGCTTACAATAAATACAAACAGGTCAGCATGCCAGGTCCCGGTGCTCTGAGGACTGGGAGTGGGACAGTATGGGGACTCTCTCTTCCTCCTTCTCTGTAGGGGGGTCCTTCAGAGTTTTGAACACCTGGCTGTCGTTTGAACCATCTACATGATACTATTAAAGGGGACTCAGCACACAACAGTGACTGGCCTGGCCTAAAGACAGTTATTTCATCTCAGTGCCTGCCAGAGCCAAGAGCTCTGTGAGTAAGATAAGCCATGCAGCCCTCGGGAGGATCTGTCAGGTAAATTCCTGCTGAAGTCAATCTACCCAAACAAGCCCGGGTATGTGGGAGAAGAGTAACCACTCTACTCTATCCTGGGAGGCCCTAACTTTGGCCATCCAAGGAGAGACCCACTCTGTAAATCCTTCTAACCTTAACAGCACAGCAGTCATTTTAAGAACATTAAGAGAAAGGAGTCAAGGCCAAGGGCAGGTTAAGAATTTATGAAGTGCTTTTCACATCCATCCTCAGGAGAGATTGTCAGGTAGGCAAATATTAACATCCCTGTTTAATAGCTGGAAGAACATAAGTCCAGAGACGTTAAGTGACTTGCCCACAGCCACATAACTGGTGAGCAGGGAGCCAAGGTTCCGAGGTACACACAGGCACGCTCCCCCTGGTGCGGGGTGAGAGAGGACGCAACTGTCGGCAGAGAGGAAAGCCGGAAAGTGCACTCCCCAAGTTCCCCACCAGGGGACGAAACCTGTCACAGCTCAGGATTTACAGGGCAGAAATAGCAAAAGGGCACAAAAGACTCTCTGAAGGCCAATACATTTACTCAATTAATTCTCACAACAACCCTCATTAGTAGTATTAACCACCTCATTTTACATGAGAGGAAAAACAGGCTCAGAAAACCCCGACCGGGGGGATACAAAGCAGCACAGGGTAGCGCCAGAATTGGAAACCAGGCTTCCCCCTGGTGGTGAGCGGGGAAGAGTGCACTGAAGCTGCCTTGGTACCCGGCAAAGGGAGTTCAGAATCCATTCAATAAATCTTTTCTTTCTTTTTCTTTTTTATTATGTTATGTTAATCACCATATATTACATCATTAGTTTTTGATGTAGTGTTCCATGATTCATTGTTTGTGTATAACACCCAGTGCTCCATACAGAACGTGCCCTCTTTAATACCCACCACCAGGCTAACCCATTCCCCCACCCCCTCTCCTCTAGAACCCTGTTTGTTTCTGAGTCCATAGTCTCTCATGGTTCGTCTCCCCCTCCAATTTCCCCCCCTTCATTTCTCCCCTCCTGCTATCTTCTTTTTTTTTTTAACATATAATGTATTATTTGTTTCAGAGGTACAGATCTGTGATTCAACAGTCTTGCACAATTCACAGTGCTCACCATAGCACATACCCTCCCCAATGTCTATCACCCAGCCACCCCATCCCTCCCACCGCCCACCACTCCAGCAACCCTCAGTTTGTTTCCTGAGATTAAGAATTCCTCGTATCAGTGAGGTCATAGGATACATGTCTTTCTCTGATTGACTTATTTCGCTCAGCATAATACCCTCTAAATCTTTTCCCAAGCCCACTTGGTACCAAGTCTTGTACTTGGCACACACCTGGAACACAATAATAAACAAGACAGACAGCCCTCTACTGAGAGACAAGCAGAAACATGAGAGGCGTCTAGATGAGCAGGGATTAGATGGGCAAAGGGAGTGTGTCAGGGGCCAGGGGATGGAACAATGTATCCCAAAGTCCAGAGGTCAGAGCAGTGGGACTTCCTTTTCCTAAAGCAGTTCAGTCTGGCCAGGGTGTGAGGGATGAGGTTGGAGAGGTAAGCAGAGGCTGGGCCTAAAAGGGTAACAAAAGGCAAGAAAGGATATGACTCATTAGAAAGCCACTAAGTAACCCAGGAAGATGATTATGGGCCCCAGGATAGTAGTGACAAAGGGGATGTGTTCATTTATCCAACAAAGGTTTGGGTGCTAGTATGAGCTAGGCACTACTGATGCTGGGGGCACATCTTCACAAGGAGAAGTCTGTCTTTTACGGAGCTTGCATTCTAGTCAAGAAAATAAATAAATACACAGATGTATAATATCAGCACTGATAAATACCATCAGAGGAAAAAAAAATAACAGGACAAGGTGTATTGGTTGATTAGGTGTGCCATAACAAAATACTACAGACCAGGTGGCTTAAACCACAGAAATGTATTTCCTCACAGTTCTGGAGGCTAGAAGTCTGAGATCATGGTGTCAACAGGGTTGGTTTCTTCTGAGGCCTCTCTCCTTTGCTTATGGAAAGCCACCTTCTCCCTGTGTCTTCACATGGTCTTCCCTCTGGGTCCGTGTCCTAATTTCCCCTCTCATGAGGATTCTCATAAGACATTGGATTGGGGCCCACCCACATGATTTCTTTTTGCCTTCATTACCTCTTTAAAAGCCCTATCTCCATACACAGTCGCATTGAGGTACTGGTCGTTAGGACTTCAACATGTTCAGCCTGCAACACAAGGGGATAGACCATAGCTAAGGCTGGTGGTAGAGGGAAGACAAGGGTCTGAAATATTTTATGTAGGACAACATGGGAGGTCCTCTCTGAGATGGCCCTGAGCTGTGAATGAAGAGAGGAAGCTAATGTCTAGGAGAGCATTCCAAGGAGAAGGAATAGCTTGTGCAAAGGTCCTGAGCTGAGGTGAGGACATGACGCAGGGCTATGTGGCATACAAGAACGGCAAGATGGCCAGTGCAGTTGGAGAACAGTGAGAAGAGATAGGAGAGGATGTCATAAGGCCTTGATGACTGGCTCTTTCTTTGAGATGGGAAGCTAGGGGTGAATTTTGAGAAGAGTGACATGATCTGACTGTATCTTAAAAGCACCTATGCTGAGAAGAAGTTGGGGGGAGAAGGGAAGGGCGGAAACAGGGAGACTTTGAACAGGAGAGAGATGATGCTGAGACTAAGTAGCAATGAAGTCTTGAGGAAGCAAGGGTAATTCCCAAGTTCTTAGCCCAAGCAACTGCATGAAGGGCAGTGCCATTTACCTAGATGGGGAAGCCTGTGGGAGAAAGTAGGTCTGTAGAGGCAGGAGAACTAAAAATTTATCGTGGACAATGGGAAGTTTAATATAAATTAAATTATCTTAAATATCCACTTGGAGATGTTGAGTAGACAGTTGAAATGAGACTAGAATTCAAGAGAAAAGTCCAGATTGAAGGTAAAAATTTGTGTAAAATAATTTTTTAAAAAAACTGTGTAAAAATATTTTAAGCTACAGAACTACTTGAAGGAAAGAATATCCGATGGAAAAAAGTCTCTTCAACAAATGGTGTTGGGAAATCTAGACAGCAACATGCAGCAAAATAAAACTGGACCACCTTCTTACACCATACACAAAAATTAATTCAAAATGGATGAAAGACCTAAATGTGAGACAGGAAACCATCAAAATCCTAGAGAACACAGGCAGAAACCTCTTTGACCTCGGCCGTTGCAACTCTTGCTAGACACGTCGCCGGAGGCAAGGAAAAAAAAAAAGCAAAAATGAACTGTTGGAACTTCATCAAGATAAAAAGCTTCTACACAAATAAAATTTAAAAAAATAAAAAGCTTCTACACAGTGAAGGAAACACTCAACAAAACTAAAAGGCAGCCTAACGGAACGGGAGAAGATACTTGCAGGCAATATATCTGATAAAGGGTTAGTATCCAAAATCTATAAAGAACTTATCAAACTCAACACCCAAAAAACAAATAATCCAGTTAAGAAATGGGCAGACGACATGAATAGACACCTTTCCAAAGAAGACATCCAGAAAGATAACAGACACATGAAAAGATGCTCAAAATCACTCATCATCAGGGAAATACAAAGCAAAACCATGATGAGATACCACCTCAAAACTCTCAGAATGGCTAAAATTAGCAACACAGGAAACAACAGGTGTTGGCAAGGATGCAGAGAAAGGGGAATACTCTTGCACTGTTGGTGGGAATGCAAACTGGTGCAGCCATTCTGGAGAAAAGTAGGGAGTTTCCTCAAAAAGTTAAAAATAGAACTACCCTACAACACAGCAATTGCACTACTAGGAATTTACCCAAAGGATACAAAAATACAGATTTGAAGGGGTACATGCACCCCGATCTTTATAGCAGCATTATTAATAATAGCCAAACTATGGAGAGAGCCCAAATGTCCATCGACTGATGAATGGATAAAGATGATGCGGTATGTATATACAATAGAATATTATCAGCTATCAAAAAAAATGAAATCTTGCCATTTGCAATGATGTGGATGGAGCTAGAATGTATTATGCTAAGTGAAGTAAGTCATTCAGAGAAAGACAAATACCATGTGATCCCACTCATATGTGGAATTCAAGAAAGCAAACATGAACATGGGGAAAAGAAAAAAGGTGAGGGAAACAAACTGTAAGAGACTCTTAACAATAGAGAACAAACAGGGTTGATGGAGGGAGGTGGGTGGGGGATGGGCTGGATGGGTGATGGGCGTTAAGGAGGGCACTCGTGGTGAGCACTGGGTGTTGTATGCAAGTGATGAATCCCTGAATTCTACTTTAGAAACCAGTATCGCCCTGTGTGTTCACTAACTACAATTTAAATAAAAATAAATAAAAAATAAAAAACAAAATAAATGAACAAATAAAAAGAAAAATCAGACCCATTAAAAAAAATAAACTATGGAACTGCTTGAGGTCACATGGGGGTGAGTATAGAAGAAAAGGTAGAGAAAAGATCCAAGGACTAAGCCCTGAGATACTCCAACATTCAGAGATTAGGAAAAGGTAGGTTCAGCAAAAATTAAGAAGTTGAGAATTTGAAGGAAAACCAAGGGAGTATTTGTCATGGAAGCCACATGAAGAAAATATTCCATGACTGCTGATGAGAAGCTGAGTAAGACTGGAAATTGGCTATTGGATATAGCACTCAGGGGTCGCTGATGATGTTGACAAAAGCTGTTTCCATGGAGTGGTGGGGTGAATACTTAATCACAGTTGGTTCAAGAGAGAAAGGGAAGGGAAAAATCAGAGATGGCAAGTATAAACGACTCTTTTGATAAGTTTTGCTGTGAAGGGGAAAGAAAGTTCAAAAATGTGAGAAAAAATTTTAAGACAGGAGATTTTACAGCATTTATTTGTATGCTAATGGGAATAATTAGGGTAGGAAGATGAAAGTAACAATGCAGAAAAAAGATAATTGTAGGAGTCCGTGCAAAGCTGGAGGTTGGTCTTAGATAGGAGTAGAGATGGTTCATTCTTAGTAACGGGAAGGAAGGTCTTATGGGTTAAGAGATTTGGTGATGGTCGGGGGTGAGGGGATATGGAATTCTCTTCTGATTGCTTTTACTTTCCTGGTGAAATAAGAAATATAGTAATTAGAGTGAGGGTGGGGAGGGGACAACGGCGGTCAACGATGGAAAGATATGGATCGACTGAAACAGTAAACAGGAGAGACTTTCTAGAACTTAATTGATTAGACAGAGGAAAACGTGCAAGGAAAAAGGCAAGGACGGGTTTCTGGTTTAGCAACTGAGCAGATGGTGGAGGTGTCTTTCATTCAGATACAGAAGGCTGAGGGAGGAGCAGGTCTGAGAGGAGAGAGGGGTTTGGTTCTGACGTGGAAAATGTTGTGCCTCTGGGACATCCAAGTGGTCACGAGGGTTTGAAGCTCGGATGAAAAAACCTCAGCTAGAGAAGTAGGTCTGGGAGTCATCACCATAAAGATGGTTGGAAGTGGAGAGGTTTTTTTTGATTGCTATTTTCCCTAAGAGATTGGTGGTTTGAGACCAGAGCAAGTTTGAGAGAGCTTCTGGGGAAGAATGAACAAAATTGATAAGGATACGGAAATAGGGGGATCATCAGGTACCTTAGGGGGCCCAGTTACAGGTGGGGTTCTCATGTTGAGCGTCGTTCCAGCCGACCACAGTGGAGCCCTCATTCTTGCTCCGGGAGCTATAGCCACCAGAAGCCGAGTGTCTCTCCTGCATCTTCCAGCTGGGTCCCCACAGCAGGGCTCCATCTCACTGACCAGCAACGTCCCCTGACCTTGAAGCTTACCTTCTACCTACACACAACACCCTTTCCTCCTTGCTTACCTGGTTAACGCCTACTCACTTTTCCTACTCAGATCAGGACGGAACCTCCCTAGAAGCCTTTCTAAACTGCCTCCCCCTCCCACTGGCCCCTGCCAGCTGGGGCCGGGGGGTTTCTTCCTCTGTACCCAGACAGCCCCTGATCTACCTTATCAGAGAATGAAACATACTGCATTTTCATCACTGACTTATCTGCCTCTCCCACTGGGCTAAAACAACTTGAGGGCAGAACCTTTTCACTTTTACAATGCCCACTACTTAGGAGGTACTCAGTATATGTTTGTGAAATGAAGACCAGAAAAAAGAACTCAAGTCCCAGACCAACACAATTCTGCAGGGTCATGATGTCCCCAGCCTGCATCACAGCAGAGGCTTCTGGACATGGAAATCAAGCCCCAAAACAGGAAATACCCCTTTGGTCTCAACACCTCTCTTCCTTTCAAGACGAGACCTCAGTATAACTACTGGAAGGAAATAAAACCCTTGTTAAAATACATTAACCCTTGTTCCTGCCATCCCCAAACATGACAGCCAGAGGCAGTGTGTAAAGGCATTTATTGAAAAACCAACACATCCTGTTTGATAAATCAGTCACTCCCCATTTCCAAGTTCCATCACCGGGACTTGAGAGCAGAGTGTGTGGTATTTTTCTGGGTTCAAGGTGTAAACTGAAATGGTGTTTAAGAAGTTGTCCAGCGGACAGAGCCGGTCAGGGCAACCTTTTGGCACCTGCTCCTGTGGAAGAGACAAAACTCAGCAGGGCCACTGAGGACCCCAGCCTGCTATTTTCACCTGTGCCCAGAGGTCTGAGAGGCTTTGACCCCGTGGTGTGTGCACGCACACACAGAACAGCCAAGAAGGCCCCACCACCCAGTCAGCTTCCAGGGTAGAACTATGCCCTGCTTGTGACAGTCACTCAAGCACTGCTTGCTGAACTGACTGGGGAGACAGTCACGTTATACCCCTAAGCTGGGAGGGCAAAAGGTCTAATCACTGCGGGGTGCGCTAGTATCAGCCCTGGACAGCAACCTGCAAAAGCAGCCGAGGCTCCCACAGCACTGACAACGCACACTGCCTCCCAAAGACACCATCCCAGAGACACTCAGGGGAAGAGGAGGGTGGTCCTGTTTCTAGAAGGAGTCTGTAGCAGATGTGCGATAAGGCCCAAGTCCCAGCCTGCCACCGTATTTCCAATTCTGCCTTATCCTGGGTATGGCTGTGAGTCATTCCATTGGATCCAGAGAACTGACTGTACCAAGGAGACTCCAGTGAGCCTGAGGAGGGAGACTTGGTGCTAAACCACGTGGGTGGGGTTGGAGGGAGGGTGCCTAGCTACCACCCAGTTGCACCTCACAGGTCTTACCTCCCCACGGTAATAGAGCTGCACAAACCACTCCTTAGATTCCCGGTGCTGGTAGAGTTCCATGGTCAGATCAACAGCAAATGGGGGCCATTTGTGGTCAAAAATCCCCAGGGTGATTAAGAGAGGCATGAGGGTCACATCATGAGCTGCGTAGAGGTACAGCTTTCTGCAAGGAGAAAACAGTCCACAGTCCTTTACCTCAGGACTCTGGAAGGCAGGACACCATCTGCCCCCTTTGAGTAAGAAACAACATTGCCTCAGAAACCAGGTGACATCTAGAAGTCAGTGAGCTTGGTATAAAACTCCTCTGAAGGAGACGGTGGGGGGAGACCTTACTCAACAATTTATGTTGTTTCTTTCCCCACTGGGGTAGCTCTCCTGACCCCTTCCTGCCCACCTGCTGGCCCACCCACCCACTCACTCCTCCCCAAGTGACCTTTAAAGTAGAAACCAAGCATGTATGGCTTGGTCCTACCTCTCTTCTCTCCTTTGGATCTGCCTGCCTGTGGCAAATGTTCTTCCTACTCTCAGCTGGGTGATGAGTTTAGTAGAGCACGCTCTCCTCCTTGCTGGGGCGGCTTGCAGTTTGGGGGAATTAAGGTCATTTCAAAGGAATATTAAGAAGACTGTTTGGCCTTTAACATATTCTCCAAATGGCTTTCATCTGTAAGAAAGATGCCATTTTAACCTATAGCTGCCTGTCCCCTGTAACTATCTCTTAGGAAAGATCAAGGATTTTATGTGTTGACTCCTAAACTAGAAGACTAGCACTGGATCCTATAGTATTCTACAGATACAAGGTCAAGGGGGGGCAAGGTGGCAAGGGCCAGTTAGAAATGTACTGTCACTGCAGGTGCTGAGAAGGACAGGGAAGGGCACTGGCACAATCTGCTATTATAAATCTGGCCCAGAGTTCCTGAATGTTCTTATTTCACCTCACTGGCCCCTCCCGTTCTCAAGCTTGTGAGTTTCTAGCTACCGTACAATCTCTCTCTCTCTAAAGAAGGCAGCCTAGGGGCGTCTGGGTGGCTCAGTTGGTTGGGCGTCCGCCTTCAGCTCAGGTCATGATCCCGGGGTCCTGGGACCGAGCACCGCATCGGGCTCCCTGCTCAGCGGGGGAGCCTGCTTCTCCCTCTCTCTCTGCCTGCCACTCCCCCTGCTTGTGCTCTCTTGCTCTCTCTCAAATAAATAAAATCTTAAAAAAAAAGAAGAAGAAGAAGGCAGCTTACAACAGTGCTTCTCTAATAGGAGGGTGCATACCAATCCCCTGAGGATCTTGTTAAAACGCAGATTCTGATTCAGTAAGTCAGAATCTAACAAGCTCCCAAGCAGTGGTGAAGCTGTTCATCCGCAGACCATGCTCTGCTCAGCAAATGCCCAGGACATGTAACACTCCAAATCCGTGCCCCTAACTGGGGTGCCAGGTGCTACAAAAGTGGCTATGGAGGTTCAGGAGCTACTTCCAACATTTAAAAATGCCAGGTGGGTATCACACCATTCTCGACACCCAGGGAAGGTGTTCGATCCAAACAATCTATTAAGCTGTTGTATTGGTCCCATCCTGCCCTCAGCTGCACAAAGCGGAGTTGCTGTGGCCGGTACCTGGTCTTGCCGGGTGGAGTGGCAGGGTCCACGGCTTTCAGCAGGTTGTTCTCCAGGATATGAAGGAACGGGCCTACGGCCATCTGAAGGCTTTCCCTACGGCAAGTAAATGACATTGGAACAGCCAGCGGGCACTGGCACACAGGAAGGCGGGCTGGGTCTGCTCCCAGGACCTCAGGAGCCCAATCAGACAGAGCTGAGAAGGAGACAAGTAATGTGTGAGGGACAGCGACCAGCAGGGCGGGGAGAAATGGCACCGCCTTCAGTTTGAGGGTTCTCTGTGCACAGACACTTCCAACAACAAAAGCACCAGGGTATGGAACACATCTGCGATGGGACTGGAAACTGGGATAAGTCATGAAGAACTAGGCCTCCAGGAACAAAGCTGGGAAGGACAGGGTAGAGTGATTTCCAGAAATTCCAGAAGGCCCTCAGAAAAGCGATCAGAAGAACAGCATCCTGAGCTCTGCTTCCCAGGTGCCAGTCCCCCTTCTCTGGAGTTTGGACTGTGAGGACATGTCTTATCTATTTGGTGTCACACAAAGCTCATTGGCAGGGCTCGCTCGCAGCGCTGGCACTGACCCTCAGGTTTGCCACCTCAGGATCACAAGGTGGTTACTGCAACTCCAAGCCTGTTATCTCACGGTGCTAAAGAAAGCAGGGAGCTGTGCCAGTGAGCGGCCAAAAGGCTTGGTTTTGGTGCCTCTCACCTTTGATCAAAGAGGGGGAAAACACCTCTTTCAGAATTCCCAGAGCCCAATCATGGACAAAAGGGAGCAGGGTCGTCATGACTGGCTTAGACCAATCTTTCTTTCATGGTGACTGGGTAAATAAATGCCCACCATCATAAGTCAAGGAATGCTGAAGCAATGGATGAGGAGTAGGCAACCGATACCGTACGCAACATATACTTTCCAGAAGAATGTACGTAGGCCAAGCCAAGTTGGATGGCACTGTGAGGCCATCTAATTTGTCCTTGAAGAAGCATCAGTTTTATGAAAGCAGGGCTAACCAAAACGGAAAGAAGAATCAGATCTTATTTAAAATGCTTTACACTGGGAGAAAATAAACTATGGCCATTGTCCAAATCCAACCCATTTGCCCGTCTTGTAAATAAAGTGTTATTGGAACAGAGCTGTGCCCACTTGTTTGCATATCATCTATGGCTGCTTTCATGCTACACTGGCAGAGATGAGTAGCTGCAAAGATAATGCATGCGCTGTGAAGCCTAAAATATTTACTAAATGTGTGTGTGTGTGTGTGTGTGTGTGTGTGTGTGTGTGTGTGTGTGT